AAAACAAGCGGACCATCATCGAGCAGCAGCCTGTCTTGTGGTATGTCTGTGGGTGCGGCCCCCTGACACAGGCAGTGCAGGCACAGCCCAAGGACCCTGCAGGCCCCTAGCAGCAGTGGAGCGGCCCTCTGCCTTCAGGACCCCGCACTGATAATGGGCTGAGGAGATGCAGACCCTTCCCACCACGTGTGGGGACACATTCTGAGGTGGGGTCCTAGTGGCCACTGTGGCTGGCTGTGTGTCCTGAGTGGCAAGGGACACTAGGAGGCTCCTGGAAGGGACACTGGGAGGACGAGCGCTGAGTGACGGGGCCACCCACCTGTGACAGGTGCTGCCCCTGTTCTGCTCCATTCCCCTGTGTGGGCGGGTGTAGGGGGTGGTCTAGCTGAGTCCATCCCACCTGCTTCCTCACGTGAGCCCCCTCTGCCCCAGTGAGGTGTTCTGCCGGGACGGAAAGGTGCTTCGGGAGGGGGAGAGACTGACCCTGCCGCGGCTGGCTGGCACCTACGAGACGCTGGCCATCGAGGGTGCTCAGGCCTTCTACAACGGCAGCCTCACGGCCCAGATTGTAAAGGACATCCAGGCAGCTGGTGAGTGGATAACCTCAGGGGTGAGGAACCCTGCAGTAGAAACCCTAAGCTGTGGCCCAGAGCCTTGAGGTCCACCAGTCCTGCCTGAGCCTGCAGCAAGTTCCTGATGGAGGAGGGTCAGTGACTGGCCATGTGGGTCCACAGCTCCTGCTTGTGTCAAAACTGAGAGAGACCATACAGTCCAGGAGAGCAAGTCCCTGGTGGGGTAAATGCAGGTGCAAGCAAGAGCCAGGGCTAGGGAAGCACTAGAATACAACCTGAAGATCCAGGAGGACTTCTTGGAGGAGGTGGTGGCTGGGCTGCAGATAATTTTGTTAGGCAGAGAGAGGAAGGGATTCCTGGCAGAGGAACAGCTGGGCTAAGGCCCAGGGAGACGGGGCTTTGATTCACCAGGAGGGTTATGTGGATGAGGGTCACCTTGAGAGAGGCATGGGGAAGGGGTTTTGTGGGGCAAGGGTCTGGAGCTTGGCTGTGACTTTCTTCAGGTAATTTTTGTCACTGTTTCATGGAGGAGGGTGATTAGCATGTCGACCTTTACCACTGAGGCTGGAAATTAGCATGCCAATATCCTGTCTGTCTGGAGCTGACTCCAGGAGAATTAAGAGCCTCCCTCCCTCCCTCTATCCATTCATCATGAGGAGAAGAGGCCAAACGGCTGGGACACCGGCAGGAATTCTCCACTTCGAAAAGGCCCTCTGAGCTGGGCGCGGTGGCTCACGTCTGTAATCCCAGCACTTTGGGAGGCCGAGGCAGGTGGATCACCTGAGGTCAGGTGTTCAAAACCAGCCCAGCCAACATGGTGAAATCCTGTCTCTACTAAAAATCTCTCTTGAGCCGAGATCAAGCCACTGCAGTCCAGCCTGGGCGACAGAACGAGACACCATCTCAAAAAAATAAAAAGAAATATAGAAAAGGCCCTCTGAGGCCAAGCTTGGTGTCTCACACCTGTAATCCCAACACTTTGGGAGGCTGAGGTAGAAGTTGAAGCCAGAAGTCCATGACAAGCCTGGGCAACATAGTGAGACTACAAAAAACATATTGAGACTCTACATAAATATAGTGGGGGTGGGGGTGGGGAACCAGAAAACATAAAAAATTCAAAGCATACTGAAAAGAAATATAGCAAGACCCTACAAAAAAATTAAAATTTGCTGGGCGTGGTGGTGCCACCTTTAGCCTCAGCTACTGGGGAGGATCTGCTGGAGGATCACTTGAGCCCAGGAGTTCAAGGCTGTGATTAAGCCACTGCACTCCAGCCTGGGTGACAGAGCAAGATCCTA